CAGCCATTGGAGGAAACATTGCAAGGCCTTCCTAGCAAAACAGAAGAAGAATGTCACTTCTTCGTCAGGTACATTCTTGAGATTAACTTCTCTCGTAAACATCTGGTTGACACAAGATGTGGTTCTCACATTTGATTGATGTGCAGGAACTACGGCAGAGTTGATTGCTCGCCGAGGGAGAGGTGGACCTACTAGTTGGAAATAAAGCACGTGCTACTGCATTTGCTATAGGATCTTATCGTCTGATTTAGCCGATGGACTTGTTTCTTGGAACTTGTGGATTATTTTTCAGTTTCTAGAAATTATATTTCTGTGTCCACATAGGACAAATGAGAATATTAGTTTACTAATGGATTATTGTCCTTAAGTATAAATAATATTCTTTATGGAACTGTTTCATAATAATATGTTCTTAAGAAAGACAACAAGGGATAATCTCAAAAATGACAACTATGCCAACTTTGGCAAGTTGAGCTAAACATACCTAAAAGGATGTGGGATAGTATCATAACTCACCCCTTCTTATACACCCCAACACAATGGAGTGTCAGAAAAGAGGAATAAGACCTTACTTGATGTGGTTAGGTCCATGGTGGGTTTTAGTGATTTACCTGTATCATTCTGGGGTTATGCCCTAGAGACTGTAACTCACGTTTTGAACCGTGTGCTGTCAAAGTCTGTAGATAAGACTCCATATGAGCTATGGAATGGGAGGAAGCCTAACTTGTCTTATCTAAGGACTTGGGGTTGCGAAGCTTATGTTAAGAAATTGACTTCGAACAAGCTAGGCCCAAAATCCTGTAAATGTATATTTGTAGGGTATCCAAATGAGACCAAAGGATACTATTTCTACCACCCAAAACAGTGCAAAATTTTTGTTGCTCGATCTGGTGTCTTCCTAGAAAAGGAATATTTTCTAAGAAGTACTAGTGGGAGAAAAGTAGAACTTGATGAAGTTCTAGAACCACAAGATATACTAGATGAAGGACGGGATGATGTGCCGCAGGAAGTGGTTGAGCATCATGAGGAGGTTACTCCACAATTTGTGGATCAAAGTGAACCACCTCAAGTAGCACAAGAGCTACATAGATCTAGGAGAGTACGCCATAAGCCCGAGAGATACGGTTATCTCATGACTCAACATGGTGACGTACTAGTCTACCAAGACGATGAACCCAGAACCTACGAAGACACTATATCGGATCCAGATTCTGTTAAATGGCTTGAAGCCATGAAATCTGAGATGGACTCCATATATCAGAACCAAGTATGGTCTTTGGTGGAACCACCTGAAGGGGTAAAACCCATAGGGTGTAAATAGGTCTTTGAGAAGAAGACTGACATGGATGGCATCGTGCATACTTATAAAGCACGACTGGTTGCCAAAGGTTTCAAACAAATTCATGGCATTGACTATGAAGAAACCTTTTCGCCAGTTGCCATGATTAAATCCATCCAGATTATGCTTGCAATTGCTGCATATCATGACTATGAGATTTGGCAAATAGATGTCAAAACTGCTTTCTTGAATGGAAACCTTGAGGAGGATGTGTATATGACACAACCTGATGGTTTCATTCTTGATAGTTAAGCTAATAAGGTATGCAAGTTGTAGAGATCCATTTATGGACTCAAGCAAGCTTTAAGGAGCTGGAACATTCATTTTAATGAAGCCATAAAAGAATTCAGTTTTATCAAGAACGAAGATGAGCCCTGTGTTTACAAGAAAGTGAGTGGGAGCGCAGTAGTATTCCTAGTGTTGTATGTCGATGACATACTTCTGATCGGGAATGATATACCAAACTTGCAGTCGGTAAAGACTTGGTTATCCAAGTGCTTCTCCATGAAGGACTTAGGGGAAGCAACCTACATCCTTGGAATAAAAATCTATCATGATAGATCGTGTAGGTTGCTCAAACTAAGTCAGAGTACATAGACAAGGTACTAAACACATTCAATAAAGAAAAATCGAAGAAGGGATTTCTTCTGATGGCATATGGTGTCTATCTCTATAAGGATATGTGTCTTTAACCACACGATGAGAAAGATAGAATGAAGAGGATCCCACATGCTTCAGCAAGTGGATCCATCTTGTATGATAAGATTGATATCTAATGTGCATCCAGCACTTGTAGTGGATATCAATCAGGCTCAAGTGAGCAATATGTTATGTACTTAGATTGATGTCTTATGTGCGTTCAGCACTAGTAGAAGATATCAACTAAATCCAAGTAAATGACACTGGGTGAGTAACAATGGACATTCTTAAGTACTTGAAAAGGGCTTAAGAATATATATTCTTGGATTATGGAGGAAAGATGAGCTCACTGTAAGAGAATACAGTGACGCTATTTCCAAATGAGAAAAGGATGATTATAGTTTGCAATTTGGGATTACACAATTTTGTCTCAATGTAACTGCAGTGAGCTGGAAGAGCTTGAATCAGTGTATTGTAGCGAATTCTACAATTGATGTTAAGTGTATCACATTATTTAATGCAGCCGTGTAGGTGGTTTGGATCAAGAAGTTCATTACTGAACTTGATGTGATTTCAAGCATTGCTAATCCAGTATAGTTGTACTGCGACAACAATGGAGCCATTGTTGTGGCTGAGGAATCACGGTCTCACCAGTAATCCAAACACTTACTTGGTTGATTCAATCTGGTCTGAAGGATCGATAAGAAAGGGAATGTGCAGATTTGCAGAACACCTACTAACCCACTATTAATGTTTCTGTTGTAGCAGAAGCATGATGGGCACTTGGGTCATTCAATGTTGAGTGCATGAATGACTAGCTATAGTGCAGACACTTGGGTCATTCAGAGTTGAGTGCATGAATGATTGGCTATAGTGCAAGTGGGAGATTGTTAGAGTAGGTGCCCTAGAGCCAATCAATTATTGTAGAATTGACTCTTTATAATAATGTTCATTAATCAATGAAAGACATTTTATTCTATATCGCGTAAATCATTATTATTGCAATATATATTGATATATGTCCTTAGAAAGGTAGAACCGTGACGAGGGTATCAAGTGTTTCAAATCTTGATAGTGAGAACCCTATGAGCACATATGGTGGTCATTCTAGAAACGTCCGTAGCCCTAGTATCATTCTAAAGTAAGGGCACAGATAATACGGTAAGGCTATCATGGTGTTGAACGACCCTATCGAAAGGCAGTGACTGATCTCACTTGTCAAGGTTGTTTGGTGACAACCTGGTGCAACACATGGGTGCTTGCTGTAGGCGGATACACAGTAGCAAGTTCACTGGACTGACCCACCAGAGGATTTCATATGGATGGTAACCCTAGTGTCTATGGAATAAATTCTCTAACGAATAGTGGTGTATGTGATCCTTAGACTTGAGATCACTAGAGCGTCTTGTGCATCGATTGGTGCAGTTTGACACTAGCCTAACGCAGTTCTTTTCAGAGTTTTCAATACGATGGTGATTGGCTGCATCAAGGAGTGTATCAAGACTAGGGTGGATTGATAGAGGATTCATCACTCCCGGGTACGGGAAAAGTTATCTCACGGCGCAATTCAGTATATGACAATGACACTAAAAACTGTGGCCACAGTGGGATTGAGTTGTTGCTCTATTAGGATTATAATACAGGTCATTGGTCCAGAAACTGATTACATAATATCGAGAGTAACCGAAGGTTGACACTATTTATATGCCTTCGTCTCATTGAGATAACGTATGATGAAATGATCGAATTGCACGGTAACCATATCATTGACAGGTAGCTACTTTCTTGAATCTGAATCTATCAGGTGGCCATGATGCCTTGCTAGGGGCCAATCTTGGTCTGTGTATTGGTGATACAATTAATTGGTGCTATACACTGCCGATATGATGAGAAGCCTATGGGTCACACACATAGAAAATAATTTAAGATCCAAGAAGAAAGAAGGGCGTTTTCGTCTTTTAAGGTGAAAAGATATTTTGGTAATTTCATAGTGCAATTAAATTTGCTGAGGTCGTAGCCTTTATTTAATTTGTTAGAAAAATTAAATAAGTGAAATTACGTGTAAATGTATGTTCGCACATATTTAAATATATTATCATTATTGTTAAATGTTAATATATATTTAAATATATGTTAATTGATTTTAATTGAGACAATGATGGAAAATAAAATAAAAATATCAAATTGGGAGTGTTTGGCAACATGGGGCGTTTGGGTTGGAGCCCAAGCCTATTCCATATGGGATTAGAGCAACTTGATTAAATATAAAAGGAAAAGTGTGTGTTAATTGTTTCTAATGAATTGATTTCTTTTGAAATTAAAACACACACAGCAGCCCCTCTCAATACACTCCCACGGCAGAAACACTTTAAGCTCAAAAATCAATTCAATTGATTTCCTTTCTTCTTAATCTTGAAGCCAAAGAGGATCTAGCAAATCCCTCTTTGGTACTTTTGAGACTGTCTTCGTGTGGACTACGTGGGTTCGATTCTACACTTGGATTGGTAGCAAAACATTCGTTGACAAATTTGGAGGAGCCTCCAATGTGCGTTTGTTTTTCTTTAAACTCAGATTTATTTTTCTGCAGATTTTATTTTAATATGAATTGTAAAATTATACCCTTGATCTTGGCTCATGTAAACGATCTCTACATTATATTTGTTTTGTTTCCACTACGTATATGGGACCGTTTACTAACAAATCTTCCCTTATTTGTCCAACGGGTAATTGTTCATTCCATTGAGAATACGAACCTTTTTTTTAAGACACCAAAGGTTCTCTCGACAACATTGCGAAGTGATGCATGTCTGTAGTTAAACAACATTTGTGGCCCCTCCGGTTATGGCGGTGATCATGAATATGGTAAGCCACTTGCCTATGAGGGGCGAGGAACCCCTTTTATTTGGATAACCCGCATCAATCAAATAGTATTTTCCTATAATAAAATCACACATGTTATTTGAATTCCAGGGCCTAAAAAATAGAACCAATACGCTATAATATGTAAAGAAGATACTTATACCTGGTGGAGGATATGGGAATCTAGAATTAGGATCATCAATAACTGAATTTAACACTCTTGAATCATGCACAGATCCTTCCGACCCAGTGACGACATAAGTGAACATCATCTTAAAGTTGCATACAGCCATTACATTCTATGACAACGTTCCTTTGCGATTCTGGTACCTATCGCCAAACTCCTGTGGAACCGAAGCATAAACATGTGTGCCATCAATGACTCCAATATAGCCCTATCATCAAAATTGAATTTTAGTAATATTAACTGACTATCAATATTAATAACACAATGAACTTAACTACCCACTAATATAAAACATAATGAAGAAGTGCCTTAAAGAAAGGGTGATATTTTCAATTGGTCGATATTTCCAGTAGAACATCATTGAAGTCTGGTGGCCTGATAAACTCTGTCTTCAACTCACATATCACCTCGCAAACCTCGCCAACATATCTAGAGATCGTCTCACCCAATTATTAGAAATCCTCCATCATCATTCTAATTGTCTCGTTTTTACCTGCGATTGTCAAAAATGTCATGACTTATTCTTCAATACTCATCCTCCTAGTTGCTCGTAATTTCCCTTGTTGTGCCAAAATGTAACAAAAGTTTGTAAAATAGTCTTTGTCCATGCGGCACTTGTCAAAGATTCTGTCATCATGACCATTTAGTACTTGCAACATGCAATCATGACCAGTTAATACGAATGTATGCAGTAAGGGCACCTATCTGTTTCCAACGCAATAACAGTGCACAATGCAACTGTTATATGTGTCAGTATTTCTTCTTCGTCATCTACAGTGCTTCATTTTCTTCCTGTACGCCTAGACGATGCCATTTAGACCTGTACATTTGTAAAACATTGATCATCATTTAACAGTTGTTGTAGTACTTAGCAAAATATAACATTCAATTTTTAATTCTAATTACAATCCTAAACTTATATGAAACATGTTATCTCACATAAAACAATAGCATAATGAACAAGTTCATACAGTAGTAGACATTTGGGTAAATTTTTCAAATCAAGGTGCAGAAAAAAGTTTGGGTTAGCCGTAAAAGGAATAAGTGCCCACTGGCGCATACAAAACTGTGGCCAAATACTTAGGACATATAGGGTCATCTACAAATTACGAAAGTCATTGTAAATCCAATTAGCCTTTTCCTCGGGCAGCAGTTTTACGAATACCTCCCACCACCCTGGATTTTGATATAAGTACTTGACAACCAGCATGTAAAACTCTGTGGGTACTTGCATGGCCGTCAAGATGTTAATACAATGGCTCATGGAAAATGGATCAGATGGAGCATTGGTGTTCTCTTCGTCCCCCTTATCTCCACTACGATTGCTAGCCCTCGATCTCATACTCCTCTCCATAAGCACATCCGTCAATCTACCAATGACATTCACAAGTGTCTATCCTAGGCCGCTTTTCTTCCTCCTATTTGTCGGTCTTTCATGACCAGATGTGTTTGACTATTTTTCCCCTATCGTCCGATGTAGATCAGGTTCAAAGTCACTATCATCAATGCCAACCAGTCTCTAATCGAAAGAAGTGAAGTTCTCCACAAATTGAGACGTAGATGTGTACGCATATCTCCCTGTGGCAATTTGCTTCTCAAATATGACTTTATAAAGCTCCTTGTGAGGAAGTCCCTTGTGGAAGAATTGTTGCGCATGTGGGTTTTGCTGGTAATGAAAAATAAACATATATTAATATCTGTTAGTCCCCAAAAAAATTCGTAAAAGTACAGTGCCGTAGATTAATATGAATTTAAAATTTTAAAATTTACCTTGATATATTCTTGTCAAGCCTGTAAAGGACACATTGGAGTTTGTGACTCATGATCCCAACCAAAGCTCATGTGTTGAAGCAATTTCCGACATGCTTGATATGCTTTTCTCAAGCGAAAGTACTTAGAGGCTAGTTGTGTCATGTTGAGTCTCCTCCCAACCAATAATGATAAGTCATCCAACAAGTACCGTGGGAAATTTTCACACGCTCAGACAACAAAACCAGAAATTTGTGGGTCATCTCAGCAAACCAGTTGACATTATCACTCATCTAATAATAGTATGGTGAGAATGACAACCAAGATTGGGACACCATAATAATCAGCAAACACATTACCAACACACATACGCACATTTAAACCTCATAAACTAAACACAGATAAATTGTTACCTCGTTCGATCCAACACTATTTGAAGTTGTCAATGCAGGGGAAGCTACGGGCAGTGTTGACCAACAGGGTGTTTGACGAACTCCAAGTCTGGAAAAACATCGAAACTTCCTCTTTTGTTGAAAGTAGTAGTCGATCATGTGCCGGTGGGCCAAATTATAGTGACTTTTGTTCATATGATCATAATTTGTTCTTACAATCAATAACGATGTCGAATCTACCCAAAATTTCCAGTAACCATGTTTAATTATCTATAGTTGACAGTAACTATAGTAACCAATTCAACTAACTAAACTAATTACTCCTAACCATATACAACCATATAAACTAAAACCTAACCAACTATGAATAAAACACAAACAACTAATGAAATTCATACATACCATTGCGTACAAGTATACCATAAACAAATATAATACAAATGCAAAATAAAACTATTATGCAATCAACCAAGATACAACCAGAAACAAGCAAGAAAACAAAAACCACAAACAATCAACACCGGATCTTTACTGTGGTTCACTTGCCCGATTTGAGCAAGCTACATCCACGTTGAACTCCGAAAAGGGAGTTCACTACACTATGATTATAGAACAACCAATTACAGTCACGATTACAAAGAATGACACCCAAGAACCCAGATCAAACAACTATGATTCAAACCCATAATCTGCCCTAGGAATCCTCTAACCTGGAAATCCCTATAACAAGAACACAGTAGTTCTTCCCTTGATTGATTAACCCAAACCACTCAAGAAACCCACAGATTACACTGAAAACAAACCCAAAAGAAAGAACCCTAATCTCACAAAAGAAAACGAAATACGGCTCTCAACTTTTATGTTTGATCTACTGTTACAATAAGAAACCCTAATCATTTTATAGTGTTGACTGGAGGCTTGATCTCAGCCGTTGGTTTTTCCTCTGAATCAGCGGTTAGGATCATCTTGGAGCTGTCTCAAAATGACACCGTTCCATTAATACTCAGTACGACGCCGTTTCAGCATTCACTCACAACAATCTCCACATTGAATGCTAAACATTCACAGTGCAGCAAACCCAAACAGTTCCATCATTGTTCTGGTCTTCATAGGTTATCTTACACGCAGCAGGTTCAAGCAGTGCTTGAACTTTACAGGTGAGACAACCTTGGTTCCCATGTCAGCAGGATTATCTTCAGTGGATACCTTTACAAGATCAATTACCCCCTGTGTTACTAAGTCTCTGACGAAGTGGAAGCGAACATCCACATGCTTGGTCCGCTCATGGGAAATTGGATTCTTACTGAGATGGATTGCACTCTGACTATCTGAGAATATAGTAACCTTGCCATCAGTCAGTTTTGCTTCGGCTAACAAACCTTGCAGCCATACAGCTTCCTTAAACACATCAACAATAGCAATATACTCTGCTTTAGTTGTTAAGAGAGCAATAATGAGCTGAAGCTGTGACTTCCAGCTAATGCAATTCCTCCAAGGGTAAAGTAATATGAGATGGTGGATTTCCTTGTGTCTTTGTCACCTGCAAAATCAAAGTCTACAAAACCCACCAAGTCAAGTGTATTATGCCTTTTACAGAAGTTTAAACCAACATTCAGGGTACCATTAATGTACCTTAATACTCCCTTTAAGGCAGTCCAGTGCTCACTACCTGGATTTGCCATGAATCTGCTTAGTAAGGAAATATAATAGGACAGGTCTGGTCTGGTACTGATCATTCCATACATCACAGATCCAACAACATTTGCATAGGGGACAGATTCCATTTTGATTATCCCAGACTCAGTTGTGGGGCATTGGCTCTTGTTTAACACAACATGGTTTGCAAGAAGCATGGACACTAGTTTTGAGTCAGCCATACCAAATTTAGACACTAGTTTTTCTAAGTATGATTTCTGCCTAATGATTAATTCATGTTTACCCCTGTTCCTGATAACGTCCATTCCTAGGATTCTTTTGGCATTTCTTAGATCCTTCATGTCAAATTCTGATCTAAGCTGACCCTTTAACTCATGAATTTTAGACTTAGACTCACTCACAAGTAACATATCATCCACATACAGTAAAAGATATACAGGCAGATTATGATTCAAATTAAAATAGAAACAATTGTCATATCTACTCCTAGTGTATCCTATACTTACAATGAAATTGTCAAACCTCTTATACCATTGTCTTGGGGACTGTTTCAGTCCATACAGTGATTTGTGCAGAATGCACACATGGTCAGGTTTCTTGGGATCAATAAAACCTAGGTGTTGGCTCATGTAAATCTCCTCTTCTAAGTTACTATGCAGAAAGACAGTGATAACATCCATTTGTTCTAACTCTAGGTTATAATGGGCAACAATGGAGAGCATTAACCTAATGGTTTTATACTTGACTACAGGGGAAAAGACTTCATTGAAGTCTATTCCTTCACGTCGGGTGTAACCCTTAGCTATTAACCTGGCTTTGTACCTAAGGGGCTCAGTAGCTGAGATTCCCTCTTTAATCTTGTACAACCATCTGCGTTTGATTAGTTTTTGATCCTTGGGTTTGGAACCAAGGACCAGGTTCTGTTTACCTCAAGTGACCTCATTTCCTCTTCCATTGCTTGCCTCCATTTTTCCCTTTCCTTAGAGTTCATTGCTTTTTCATATGAGTCTGGTTCTGTTCTTTGAATCCCTATTCTTGCAAGCAAAGCAGTGTATATCAGTTCAGCATAAGAAAACCTGGCAGGGGGTCTTACCTCCCTCCTTATTCTATCTCTGGCAAGTTGATAGTGTTCTAATTGTGCATGTTGGGGCTCTGGGGCATCTGCTTCATTTTCTTCGCTATCAGATCCAGGATCCTCTGGTCCTGATTGGTTTTCAGGTGCATGTTCCTCATTGGGTTAAGGTGGTTCAGCCTGCTGACCTACAGGCTCCACCTCAATGGTTGTAGTCTCAGTTGTATCCTTGGTAGG